TTTATTGTTATTTCTAGTCATTTGCTTCTATAATTAAATAATTTATTGTGAACATTGTCTAATGAAGGCAGAGGATTGAACTCCTGTTACGGTAGAATCAAAAGTTGATCAAATTTATCACCACATAGAGGTGTAAGTAGAAAATGCAGATTATTTCCACATAGGCAACTATGTTACTGTTTTAATTTTGCTTGCTTTTAAAACTTTCAGGACATAGAATGGGTGTGCTAGTGTAAAGACCATATTACCACAATGATTTTCTTAACCTCATTGAACAGGCTAGTGTCTGCCAAAAACTTTAGACAAAACATGGTAACCTATATTTAAGCCAACCAATGGGTTAACCATGCTGCTATCGTTATTCTTCACCTAAAGTACTGTCTCATACATTTTGCTAAGTTGTCTAAATCCCCGTTGTACTATTGATTTCTCCCCCTATGAGTTCACACCCATTCAATAAGCTGCAAGAACCCCTTGTCCTAGTTGAATTCCCTCCAAAGCAGGGCCCAGGTATGTTACTCCTGACAGCGGTAGGCGGGAGCTGATTGTTAGCTGGTGGGAAACAAACCTCCGGAGACAGGGAGGAAATTTCATCTTGATGTGAGAAACATGACAGGGAAAGATGCCTGTGAGGTTAAATGAAAAGCAGGTTACTAGAAACATGTATGTTATGATCTTATTTAGTAAAATACACAAAAAACTCCCCAAGTCCCACTGTGTGTGTGTGTGTGTGTGTGTGTGTGTGTGTGTGTGTGTGTGACAGTGAGAAAGAGAGAGAGAGAGAGAGAGAGAGAGAGAGAGAGAGAGAGAACAGAAACAAGATCTGGAAGGAAATGTGGTGTATATATATATTAATGGTGCTTATTTCTGGGTAGTGGGATATTGGTTGGACTTTTTTTTTCTTATTATTGTCTTCTCTGAATTTTTCACAGTGAGTATGAATTAATTTAATAATTATAAAAAGATCTGTTTATTAAGAAGGAAGCAGAAGTAAAAACACAACAATTTTATGACAACTTAAAAGAAAATTACTCTTTGCCTTCAAAATAGGGAGATTTCTAAAGTTCCTCCAGGATTTCTTAAAAGAGCTGCTTTTCTGTTTACTCAGCATTTAAAAGACATGGCATTGAGATTTATGAAAACATGAAGATGGCACTCATAATCTCTATATTGCAGAATCATTAAGAGTAATGAAAAGATATAAGCAGATCTACAAAAAAGAAAATGAACCATCCAAACGGCACGTTAAAGAGGGTCTGTGCTCCCTATGTTGCCAGAGCCTGAGGGAGAAGAGAAATGGCTGCCTGCAGGACAGCGCAAAGCAGTCTCTTCCAAAATGGTTAGCTCCACACGTACAGAAGCATGATAGAACTTCAGAACTTTTAAAACAAGGCTGTCCATTTATTTCTCCAATGCTCGACTTAAGATTTATTTAAAAGAAATAATGTATTTACTAATCTATTAGTAAAAGTGCATACATATAAAATATTTATCTGAGTTTGCTGCCAAGTCAACAGATTCCACCCCCCACCCCCATTATCTTGAGACTGATTCAAGACAAGGCAATCACAAGGCTGGAAGCTCAAAGAAATAGAATTCCTATTATGGCACAGTATCACTGCCTCTTAGTCTGGGTTAGTCACTTATTTCCTTTTATTATAATGCCAAATGTTATTTAGATTTCAGTCATTTAGTAATGCTACACTGAACACATCAGGGCTTCTAAAAAATTCCATACCTACTAGTCCTTTCATTTTCATAATAACCATATATCGATATCCCTTCTCCAACCAAATTACACCAGGATGTAAAAAGGAATCTGTGTTTTATCAGAGTTTAAAAAGATTATAAAGCAGTGAACAACAGTCTTAAAAAATGTTCCTTCATGTTATTAAGAATTAGAAAATCTTGTTAAAATTCTTTCAGCTTTTAAGAAACATAAGCAGCTTTGGGATGTAGTGCCTGACATGAACTTTTAAAGTAATTCCCTTGGAGCGATCATCTGCATTAGTGAAGATATTTCATTCAAGGTAGAACCCTATGCTGCTTTTCAGTATTTGAGCAGTCAATCTAATTGCTTTTCTAAGCCAAAGATCGAAAATAACCAATACTACAGACTTTTAAGGATAAGACAGCTTGACTTTCTCTAATGGTGAGAGTCACGCTCACCATCAAGGAGGAGAGCCCTTACTTACAAAAATGCAGCTAATGAGCCCAAGTTGTTAAGGGGTATAGAAAGTCGAGTTCACAATTTCCCTAGTTAGGATGGCTGTTGGAAGGCAGGGGAGCCAGGGGAGGTAAGCCCAAATAAATATATAATTCCTTTCAATCATGGCTCACATTAAATGATAAAGTAACTCTACAGGAGAGAAGGATGGTAATGGTTGAAGGAGATAAGTGTTCTCCTATTCAGGATTAATAATAATAGGTGAAAATGGAGCTCTAACAGTGTACCTAGTTTTATGCATGCTAGTGCTTCACAGAAGACATGGAATTTATCCGACTTATATTATATTAAAATATTTATTTGGGTTTGCTGTTTTATTTCAAGTTCAGCCTAGGATATCCTAGCAGAAATGGTTTACAGGTTGTGGATTTTTTTTTTTTTTTACTTCAAATGTTTCCTCCAAGTGACAAGTTACCCTCAATAAGTATTTGGGGAGACATCATGCTCCATATAAATTGACGAGGTGATCAGGCTGTCAATAGAATCTAAGTCAACATTAGGCTGCATTAGAAGTATAGTAACCTGTAGTAAGAAAAGTGACAGTCCTTCTAAGCTTTGTACTTATCACAGTACATCTGGAGGGCTCTTCTCAGGATCATATTTTTAGAGGGTCACCAACAAACTGAAGTACAGCCAAGGGAGGATGTCTAGAGTGCTGAGTCCATCAGGAACACACCATCCAATAGTCGTCATAAAATTAGTGTGGTCTGACCCGGAAATGGGAGGAAGGTAGGATCTGAGTCTCTGACTACACATATTGGAAAGGCTCTGATAGGGAAGATGGAGTAAATCTTGAATGTGATCCCAGAGGACATGAAGTTGTAGCTAAGTAGGTTTGGGCTCCAGACCAGGAATAACTTTCTATTAGCACTGCTTGGCAATGGAGGTGGGCAGCCTTGTGAATTCAGAAGCTTTCTGTTAAGGACGGGTTCCAATACAGACCAGAATGGGTACCTATTGGTTTTGCTGTAGAGGAATAGCTACCTGTGTTGGAATTTGGACTAAAGGATCAAAAAGATCTTTTTAAACTTAGAATTTGTGATTCAAGGAAACAAAGTTTACTTTTCCAATGCTTTCCTTCAGACAAACGCTTTTAAACTTAAATTCTTTTGTGCTACATGTTTGAGTTTTGAGGAATCAAGGTGCCTCCATCCAACTCCAGAATGTAAGTGTAGAAAACTGTTTTCACGTGCTGCTTCTCAAATGCACCCAGACATGAACAGCCTAATGACTAAAAAACAGTCCCAATTATCTCGCTGGCATATCTGTTCAGTAAAATCAGTGAGGTATGGTATAAGAATGTATGACTTCCCCTGAACAAAATTATTCTCATTTTTAAAGGGTAAAGAGTAGACTTACATATTGGCTTTTCTCATGTGTTGGGATAACTGGAAAAGGATGCTCATCAATGCTCCAGGGTAATGATGCCCTAGGAATTGTAGTCAACTTCAATGAGAAAACATGGATTGGTTCTAGATGGAATTAAAATATTTCCCAAAGAGGCAAATATATTCTTCCCCTTCTGTGTGAACAAGCATATTGCATATTGCGATTATTTCCAGGCAAGCCAAATTAAAGTATTTCCTTGGAAGTATGTAGAGTTATTTTAACATTAATATTAACACAGTTTCCTCCCATTTTTCTTTCTAACAAAATGCTTTTGTGTTATGAATCTGTTTTAAAACAACAGATCAAGTAAAGTACAGGCATCTTTGAAGAGTGAAAAAATAATTTCCCAAGTAAGCAAATAAAACTTTGCACTTCAAATCAGGCCTTGATTCATTAAAAATCTTAAACTTCTCATGAGAAAAATTAACATTTAAACCACTGCTGCTTGGCCAAGCACTCCACCACACAAGAATATGAAATATCTCCTCTAAAAAAGTACAAAAAGGACAAAACCACAAATGTGGAACTTCAATTAATTTAAAGCCCCAATCAGCAAAGAATAAATCCTTCGCAGATCTAATTACCAGCGCTCTCGGAAGACCCAGGCCGACCAGCCAATCTTCCCCGTGTTTGAACAGCTTGATGAACTAGGGGACTGATGGATATCAAGTCATTTTGTTTAATTTATAAATGGATTTTCCCCTAATACTTAAATTATCATCAGTACAACACAATGAAAATGGGAACATTCTGAATGCAAAGTCTATAAGAGTCCTGGAAGGAATCCCAATGAGGAATGTCACCTCTGTTCATTCCTCTATACAATTGATCTAATTAAATACTGAGGGTGGAAAGGCAGTTTAAAATGTAGCCATTTCTGTTTTCTTTTTAGCCTTAATTTATCTGTTCACATCTTTCAAGTACCTTCTGATGCTTAAAAAAAAAAAAAGAAAAAGAAAAGAAACCAAGATTTTTGCAAATCTCTAATACTTCTAATTCTCCATAAGCTAATATTCAAAATGCCTCTACCACAGATTTTGCTGAATAATAAATAATTGCATTACATTTAGACATGGTAACAATAAAAGGAAGAAGGGTGTTCCAGGTCGGAAGCTTTCCTCTRGTAATATGAAAAAGAAACTAAAGGAACTAGTACCTTCTATGCGTATTGTTCAACTGAAATTAGATCTCTGGATTATACTTATTAAAATGTCTCCTTATTTTCAAATCTCTCCCTTATTTAATTACTGCATGGGACTGAAAGCTGCACAGAATTGTTAAATACCCTTAGACCTATTTATAGTCTCTTCACACGGGTGCCCTGAGCACACTCATTCGGCAAAGGTCCTGCCCACCAACCCACAAGTTAGGTTTGAATTCCCACCTGGCTCAGGGGTCTCTGACTGAGAGGAGGAAGATGCTGAGCTGGCCCCGTCTTCTGCTGTGCCCTGTGAGAGGAGACCCCGCCCGGGTGGGAGCTTCATGCCCAGCTGCTCTGCCATCTCCACGTGGTCCCCAGGGTGGACATAGTCAAAGACGCTGCTGCCTGTCAGCTCCACCTAGAGAGGGAAGAGAAAGGGTGAGAAAGAAAGGTGTCATAGGCTTTTCCATGTTCAAATTCAGCACCAAAGTGATTCAGATTCTGAGCAGAAAAGGAAAACACTCAGGCACTAGAAGCAATTCTTGATCGAAGGCTTCATCTTCAAATACTTAAGGATTCCTAAACTTGAAAGACTTTTTTTTTTCTCATGTATTTATTTAGCAATTGTTTAGCCCAGTTTTTCCTTCATACACTGTTGTTTGCATAAATCCAAAACATCCTGTGAAATGTGGACAAGTCTGCCTCACGTTCAGCTGTTTTATCCACGCATCATCAAATACTTGTATGTTTGGTGTCAACTGGATGATTGACTGAATTCTACAGTTTTCTTATTGAGAAATTTGGGCTTTGTATAAAAATGGCTACAGAAAAAGCCAAAGATAGTAGACGAGTATTTTCCTGAAAATACACAGATTTCCAAGATGTGTTTTTATACATACCCTCTTATTTCTATGTAAATTTAAACATAAGAAGTGCTGCTTACAAATATATGCAAAGGCATAATGTTTTCATTAAATATTACTCATTAGCGCTGTAATCATATGGAGAATTTTCCATGCAAAAGAGGTCAGCTGGGGTCTGAAGCAGCCATTTTTTTTTTCTGCTGGTATCAGCTTGTTTTGCCTTCAATTTAATAAAATACATGGTACAGATCTCCTTGAGGGCTTTTTAAAAATTGTTTTCTTTTGTGTACTCTTTGAATTAGGCTGACTATGAGCACAGAGAATGAACATGAACTGTCAGAAAAGAGGCCCCTCCTGTTTCAGTGCTGTCAGCCAGGACTCCTGTATCTGGGTCGTGTGCTGTCTCAGGGGGCAAGAATTGGTCTTACCTCTGTGTTCTTCCAAAGCTCTAACTTTTATCTCTTTCTAAGAATAGCAGTAATGCTCCTAATGTAACGCACTTGGGTTATAGTGTTACAACAGGGAGAGGTGCTTTCACAACAGGACAAGGAAAAGCTCTTTCCTGGGTCACTAATGGGTTTCCCAATCCCCTGGGGTGTAATGGTCTCAGGCCAGCTATGATGTGCCGTGGAAGCTGCCAGAACATGGCACTGTCACAAGTTTCTTGGTGGATATTACCTAGAGCCTTTCCTACCTCATATCCCTTTCCTGTGTAATATCCAGCATCCTTCCAAATTCCACCTGAGTGCTTGCACTCTTTTTGCTGCCAAGAAGGAAAACTGGCGATGGGAGAACTGTCACAGGGAGCGTAATGCTCAGAGCAATTATTACCCTCAGAACTCCAAGTCCCAGGAAGATGATCAAATCTACTGCCAGACACCATTTGATTAAAATCTTAACAGGCTACACATCTTCAACATCTATCAATTAACAGAGGTAGAGCCAGAAGAAGAGGAGGCTAAATTCAGTTTGGTTAATAGCTATTCCTGAAAAAGGCTCCCATAACTTTTACCGAAAATGAGGTACTTTCTCTTACTATTAAATTACATTCTCCTACTGTATTACCCGACAACCGACTCTATCATTTTACAATACCTATTTCCTCCACTTGGTATTGTTGCAGAGAGTACATCGGGATTCACAGTGATCAGCTCCGACCCTCTGGGAGGGGGGGATTACATGGAAATAATCCCTTTAATGTGTGCCTTGCCTCTAAGCACTTCACACAGCAATAAATGGGTAAACTGACTTTGAGCAATTAAGAAATTAAATGAAACTAATAAAATGTGTGTTTTAATATTTCTTGATAGTTATTTTGTTTGGGGATTAGTGAATATGAGGAAGTCACTCATTTTACATGGAGTCCAATTGTGGCACTTTCATAAATATTTTTTTGTCACTTTTCTCAAACTCTAATGGTTTTCTTTAATACTTCAAAGTGGTTTTTGGCACAGACCACAGATTGTGATGGCAGCACAAGTAGGATATAAAATAAAATTTTAAGGGGTCCTGGTTGTTGAATATTCATGTATGCCAGCCTATAGAGAAAGAGCAATAGCCCACAGTTTTCACAACCTGATCTGCTTGGATGTGCAGGCACTTCCTTTACACAAAACAACGTCTTGAGTGTGGCACATGTAAAGAAGGACTAAGTCACAAAGTGCCCTAGGGTATTATGCATGCTGTGGACTTTCTCTTCCAATGACCTCATAGGTTCCCCCAGCAGGACATCTCAGAGCTAAATACTGATTGAGAGGCTGGCCCCCAAAATTTGACACTGTCATGGTCTTCATGCATTCTTGTAGTTAAGGCGATATGGTTTGGTTGAAAGCACAAGATACTTGGAGACACAATCTGACTTTGAGATCAGAATCTTTTCTTCTTCAGCTGTGTGGTCCTGGACAATTCACTTAACTTCCTAGGCTTCGGTTTCCTAGTCTAAAACTGGCAGCATTCCTGCTCTGTAGGACTCTGGGAGCACTGCTCATGTGTTACTTTGTGGACATGGTCCCCCTGGAGTGCCAATCTTCAGGAATGGTACAAGGTATGGACCTTGAGAGCTTGAATGAAAACAGGACTTACTTTGCCACTCTATAGCCAATGAAAATCCAATGAAACCATGCAGAGGAAGTCACTTTGTGAGACTTAAACACTCTCAAATGACTGCTCTTGTTGTTGCTTTTTGGTTGATAAGAATGGATGGCAGCTGGGCACTATGGTGCACACCTGTAATTCCAGTGGCTTGAGAGGCTGAGGCAGGAGATTGCAAGCTCAATGCCAACCTCGGCAAAAGTGAGGCACTAAGCAACTCAGTGAGACCCTGTCTCTAAATAAAATACAAATAGGGCTGGGGATGTGGCTTAGTGGTCGAGTGCCCCTGAGTTCAATCCCGGGTTACCTGATGCCCCCACCCCAAAAAAGAAAATGTATATTCCAGGGTAACTTGGGGTTTGGGACATCACTTTAAACAGGGTATGGCAGGGGTGACAAGTGCTTTGAATCTTAACTACAAGAATGACAATATTAGCAGCCACCTACTTGTGCAGGTACTTTCTATACTTTGATGAATTCTCATACAATCTTTTAAATTGGTGTGATTTTCCCCATTTCACAGGAGAACCTATGTATTGGAAAAGGCCAATGGTAGTGACAGACTGGTTCAAAGGCTATTGACTTGACATATGACTTCTCAGGCATATGCAGCCATAGAGGGACCTGTGACATTTGCAGCCATAGAGGGACCTGTGAACTTCTTTCCCCTTCAATGTGACTCCTAGCAGGAGAGACCGTGGAGTACTATGAAGGCAGGAGGCCAAGGGCAGGTAGCCTGCCAGTCCCTTGGGGCTCAGGATACTTTGGACTCTTTGACCAATGGAAGGTACAAAAGGATGTGTACTAAGCCAAGAGAGATGTGGGAGTAGACAAAAATCTACTCAGTATTCACCTCCAGCCAACACGGTCATCACCACTACCACATCTCACATTTATCAAATACTTTCAACATTTCTCTTACTGATTCCACTTAATTAAAATTTAGAAGCGAAAGAGAACTTAAAAACCGTCTATTAATATCCCCTGATGTAATTGGTGAAAACTCTACAATTCTGAGAAGTTAAAATGCTTTTTCAAGTTTATCCAGCTGTGTGAAGGCAGAAGTAAGGCTAGAAGCCCAGCTGACTGACACACAGTCCACCACTTTTCTCACTTAACCCTTGTCTTTTTTGTTTTCCTCCAATGAAGACTGACTAGGTGAATCAGAAGAATTCATTTTTCCTGCCACTAAATTCTGTGCCAAAAAATAGACCACAGAAAGTAAGACTGGAAGTCTTTTACTTGATGGAGAGACATTACTTCATGTTAGTTTCAAGTAGGAAAAATAAATAGAACACTAATCCAGTGTTAATTAGGTAAGTTCAGATCCCTAGTTACTAACTCTTCCAAAATTTCTGCCCACTGATTTCTTGTCCATGGTAGGTCTATTACAAATGTTTGTTGAATGAACAAAGGATGGGTATTTAGGCCTGAAAATAATTCTGCTTGATCTTCATTTGTTTTGAGCACAATTAAGTTTTCTTTTTAAAAATATTATTAGTGACATTATTTTTTACAGCATTATTTATTTTGTAAAATGAGTTGCAATATAACATCATTATATATTCGCTTCCAATAAACCTTTGCCATATGCATTAAGACTCATACCTTCTTTTATAGATCCCCAAATAAGTTTACCTGAAAACAGAATTATATAAATACTAGGAAAGACAGATTTTAAGAAACTGTTTCAAAAAATAATGACCATCTTTCATATCCCATTTTGTTTCCAATTTCTGACAAAACTGTTTGGCTAGTTAGCTTCCAAGTTCCACACCCCTGTATCCTCATCTGAATTGCAACACAGTTCCACAAAAAATTATTTCTAACTTTCCCTTCATTTCACCAACAGTAGAAATTTAGAGAAATTTAGTTGATATTAATTATTGGTCCTATTCTTAACCCTTCACTATGATTTATACAGTGTCTTCCTTTCTCCACCAATAGTGTTTTTCTACTTAGTGCAAATTACATTCTAAAGCAAATGTGAAAAACTCTTCATTTTATAGTAAAGTCAATCACTGTATACAGTAGTTAAAAAAATTCCACTTTTGGGGGGCTGGGGATGTGACTCAGTGGTAAAAGTGCTTGCCTAGCATATGTGAGGCCCTGAGTTCAATATTCCACTTTCTGTTTATTAAACTCAAGAAACAGACCCATGGGTCTTTGAATGGTTTGTTTCCCCAACATAAGAGGGACAAAGAAGCATGACTGTTGCCAAACTCACCCACKAGGTCCAACTTTCCTCCAGCTGAGTCACTCTAAAAGAGCATCTCCTATTGCTTAGTATATTGTAAAATAACTGAGAATGCATGGCAGCAGACAGCAATAAACAATCATATCCAGAAACAGCATTATTTTGCTTAAACTCTTTTTTTCTTCCTGGCTTTCTCCACCCAACGCTACCATAGATTCCTCCTAAACCAGAGCCACAAGTGCCATCTGGCATCGCCTGTAGTCATGC